GGATGATAACACGGGAATATGTTATCATAGATCAGCGTTGAATGCGCCGAAGTTGACGACCACCGCATGGGATCAGATATGCGTAAATCACGTGTATCGCCCGTGACGAACATTATTCTTTTTAATACCATTTCGAATACCCATAATTGGATAACTTGAACACAATGTCGCGATGCGATGCATTGCCGTCTGATTCATACTCGCGTGTCCCCTTTCCCAATCATCCTTCCCCGTACCCCAATTCCCTCCAACATGACAACCTGCACTCTTCGCACAGCCGGAGTCTACCTCACAACCATCTCCCGCATTGCAGATCTTCCAATAAACCTACTTGCCTTGAGCCATCGGTCGATTCCTCCGCTGCAGGCGCCAACGGCTTGCTACTAGGAGGCATGGCACACGTCACGGCATGGCAGTTGTGGCTTGCCTTGGCGTGGCGTGAGGCCACGATGCACAAGCATTTTCCACCCCAAGCCTCCTTTCTGGGCTGAGGTCAGAGGCGCTGTGGGATTCCTCTGACGCTGCGCTCATACAAGTTACGATGATTGCTTCCGTGTGGGCGGGGAAAGGGTGTATGCATACCCGGGGAATGGACCGTTTACAGTATCACGTCAATCAAGAAAAAAACTAAACAGGTCTGCAGCCTACATCAACATAAAAACCCACAAGATAAGTGACCTAGTGTCGATGTAGGCTCTAGGCCTGTTCAGTTTTTTTCTAGTATGAGGTGGTATAACGGGTGTGGCTTTGCCATCTTGTCGTTGTTGTGCTCATCTTGCGGAGTATAGTGATCAAGGTGAGGGGTTTCTAAGGCTGTTAAAGTCGTCTAATCTATGGATCATGGCCCTTTTCTTGTCGAAACAATATTTGCTTATGATTGGAGATGTTACACTATTACTATCTACACATTACTAGACACTTCCACTGGGTACCTGTATAGCACCATTCTCCTTGGTCCCCTCCAATGCTTCGCCCCAGATTTGCTTGACAAGCTGCTTCTTGTTGATCTTGCCCATTGCGTTCCTTGGGATAGTATCCACGACCTTCATCTCTTGAGGGATCTTGTAGTTTGCGAGCATCTCCTTGAGCGCCCTCCTCATGTCCAGCGCAGACCATGCTTTGCCTCCCTTTCCTGCTGTCTTTCCCTGTTCGGAGAGTACCACTACGGCAGCGACTTTTTGACCCCAGGCTTCTGATGGTAGACCGACCACGGCAACTTCGTCGACTTGAGGGAGGGAGAGCATCTCGCGTTCGATCTCGAGGGCAGAAACCTTCTCGCCACCGGTCTTTATGATATCGGCTGATTTGCGGCCGTGGATGAAGTAGAGAGGTCCCTTGGCCCATGCTTGGTCGCTCTCGCCTGCTCCCTTGACATTCCTTCGAACAGCGACATCGCCTGTCTTGAACCATTTCCCTTGTCCATCTGCATCGTCTGTAAACTCTTTGGAGGTGGCTTCGGGGTTCTTCCAGTATTCTCTAAAGATTGTAGGACCGCGCAGTTGGATCTCGCCCTGGCGTTCGCGTTGTGTCTCGGGGTCGATTTCTTTGCCCTCTTCTATAATCTCCCCAGTCTCGATGTCTGCTAAACGCGCCTGTACTGATGGAAGCGGCCAGCCTACCGAGCCATCTACGCGATCTGCGAAATTCAATCCGCAGGAAAGCGCCATACCCACCTCAGTCATGCCATATCGCTCGAGCAGCACGTTGCCCCCGCTGAGCTCCGTCCACGATGATTTCACCGGTGTAGGAAGGGCAGCGGACCCTGAGATGTTGAGGCGCATATTCGATGGGTGAAGCGCGGTCTTGGTCGCGGCTTGAAGTTCGGACGAGAGGGTAGGATGCGATGCGAGTAGGCGCGTGTATATGGTTGGGACGACGGTAAGGAAGGTAATGGGCTTCTTGGCTGGATCAGGGCTCGGTAGGAAGGGAGCTGCCAGTCGGTCCCATACAGCGGCAGCATTGAAGGGGAACTGGAACTCGATGGTGCTGCCGGCGAAGAGAGGCGTAAGCAATGCGTTGACGGTGCCGTGGATGTGGTGTAAAGGCAGAACGTGTAATAACACATCGTCTTTACTGTAGTTCCACGCCTCCAGCAGCGATCGCGACTGTGCCGTTAGCACGTCTTGAGGCAACAAAACACCCTTGGGTCGGTTTGTAGTGCCAGATGTATACAGCATCATGCCTCCCTTGTCGCTGGTAGGCTCCTCCAGCGTGACGTAGTCGTCCGTCTTGCCCATCATAATCTTGTCCTGTTTGTAGTTGATGGGCTGCGTCTCCATTCCCTCCTTCAGCACATCGTCGGCTTGACTCTGGAACTTCTCCGACGAGAGAAGCATCAGAGACTCGCTCTGGTCGATGATGTATCGCAGCTCGTGTGCCGGGAAGGTCGGCGATAGCGGTACGGCGATTGCATGTGCGGCGAGGATGGACAAGAGGGTCACTGTGCATGCGTCAGATTCTGCTGCCTTCGCTGTTTTACACGAGGCGTAGAGGAACGCGCACCTACATAGTCGTATCCATTTTCTACCAGAAAGGATATCCGTTGGCCCTCTGCGCTCTGCCCGCCGCAGTTCCGTTGCAGCTTGTCCTTGGCAGCAGCGACATCGTTTACAAGCTCGCCGTACGTAAAGGACCGCCCGGAAAGAGAGTGGACGACGGCCGTGCTTTGCGCATCGTGCTTCTTGATGGCTTCGAAGACAGGGAGGCGGGGCAGCGTGGATGCCATTCTCACGGTATAGAAGAGCGAATGGCTGTTGTATGCCGACAGAGATATTTTGTGTCGTGTCAGGGTGCGAGCGAAAAGATTACGCGCCCACATGGCGGCAGGGAGATGTCCCGGATCAGCGCAATTGATGCAGGTTTCGAGGCTTCGGAGTACGGCAGATCGGTGCGAGATATGCTGTGTTTAGAGCGGCGTCGGAGCGGTCCTGTTACTGCAGTCTCCAGACAGTGGCGCAAAAGTTGCCATCTAAAGTATCGCGCAGTGTAATCAGGACGCTTTTTTACATGTCACAATCATCTTTCAAAGGGTGCTCTGGCAGTCTCATGGCCTCAATGGCTCGTCTGACTGCGCTTCAAACTTTCGGAACCATGACGCGACGCCTTCCGATTTCGTCTTGGCGCTTGCCTCGGCACGAATTCTAGGGCCGACGCAACCCAATACTTCCACCACTGCGATCCAGTATTCTCATTGGTCCTACTTGACACCCTGCCCGACTAAGAAGCACTGTGGTGAATGTTCTTTCCAACTATCGCGCTCGCTGGAAAGCGTTTCATGTCAGCCATGGCCCAGTCCATGACACCAATGGAAGATGCTCTGAGGACGAAGGTAGTTATACACTTTAGTTGGCATACCTCAACTGTGTACCTAGAATTGCATCTAAACTTGCCGTAGATCACAGAAGCCCTGAAGCCGACTTCACTCGAGATCTTCAACGATTCGAATAAGCATGCCCACCACAAAGCTATGCAAGGAGTCACCAGCAGAGAGACACACTTCCGGTATTCATCGACATGCAATCTTCTCAACTACGTGACTTGTGTTCCTGACGCTCGCAGTGTTTTCATCACATCGCCAGCCTTCCAAGGCAAAATGCAGCTCGCACGGCATCGCATGATCAACTCCTTGATGAAGGACGAGTTAGCACAAGAAGGCGGTATACACGCGCTGCAACTCATCACTCGAACGCCTGAGGAGGACGAAGCCCGGAAGCAGAAGGAAGCCACCCAGGGATAAGTGCGGATGATGACCAATACCCACGAAGAACGGCTATGGAGCTGTTTGGCGATAGGCGTCCGATAAAACTCTGCTAGTGGATGGTATACATATGGGGCTCTGTGCCCAGTAGCCATCGTAGATTGAAGCAAGGGTAGATTCAGAACAGTTGTGTAGTCTAATCTAACAGCCGCAACGCCTCGAACGCCTCTAGTATATAGTCACTTTCCTCCCATAAGCGCTTCGTAACGTGATCATAACGTAAAGCTTAGCGATCCAACGCCATGTCTTAGCATCTTGCAGAAACAGGAACTCAGATACGAGATCGCCGAATTGATGGAGTTGAAACCCCCGCTCTAGCCCCCGTGTTTGCGCATTACAGTCATCAATCCACAACGCTAGCCTTCTATTGAAGAAGAAACGGCTGAGTCCAGTGACAGGAATATTCCCATAAGCTACCATACGCTTGACTAGCCATCGAAGTCAATGTAGAAGTGGTGGCGGTGATTGTCAGCACGAAACGGTCAATACGGGCTTCCACATCATGACGGGACCCAACCAACCCTTGAACCTTGACCCTGTACGAGTGTAGGCAAATGCACTAACGCAATCTAACAATCAGAATCTAGGCCTTTGCTACGCTCCTCACCAACACAACAGGCATCCCGCTATCTAAAAACGCCAAACATGTGTGACAAGGGCGACGGTGAGGCAATCAAGCAATGCGTTGCATATCTTTGGCTTGTAGGGTTGAGCATATTATATAGTACCTAGTCAAGCTTCTTTACATGCAAGTGAAGACTACCTAGATAGAAAAGGTAATAAAGCTTAGTAAAGATGGGGTGATGATGGATACAGCTAGAGTGTTGTCCAGTTATCGGTCAGCGTGCGAATTGAGCCAGACACCGCGATGTCGCTAGAGAAACACCCCAAACTCACAGTACGCTCATCACATCATCCATCGGTACTAATCGCTGACAAAGACGGATGATGTAGGTGTAACTGGGACTACTGAGGGTGTATGTTCTTCTCACACAGAGCGGTGTACGGAAATCAGCACCTTTCTAGTTTTCCATTGCGCTTGAGACACGTACTTCTACATGAGCATCCACATTTCGGTCAACATGGAACACTACGATAGGGTATAGATAGCATAGTAACATAAAAAATCCCATGATCCGTCCCTTGGGCCTAAGTCCTTCCAACACGACACCCCAACCAGATTGCGACGCTCTTAACGAATAAGACTTTTGTGGGGAGAGTGATTTGTACTGTGAAAAACACATCACCTTTGACCACCTCCTACCTCAGTTAAGGTCTCGTCCATCTTCCCACTGGACTCGAGTATTTGCCGTGCGGCTGTCTGGATAGAGAGGCTTTCGCGCCGCATAGTCTGCACAGCCGCTTCGAGTGCCTGGGTTCTAGCGCGAAGACGACTGATCTCAGCACGGAGGACGATGATGGTCTCTCTCTGGGAGACCGAAATGTTGGTACTGTGTGTAAAGTCGACGGGCGATGGATCCGGAGTGATGCCAGGTTGTTGTTCCGTGTCTGATACCGACACCGACGTCTCAGTTCCAGCTACCATAGCTTCTTCCAGTAAACGTATGCGTTGCTCGAGCCCGGCTTTCTCAGCTTCCCATGCCCTCTTTTCTTCGGTGCTTTGTGCCTGGAGCCGGTTGGCCATGTCCATGATTTGCATGTATTGTGCTCCGTTAGCGATGAGCTGCTGCCGAGCCTCATCCCTACTCTGCTGTAGCTCTTCCATTTGACCTTCCATTGTCGAAACTTGTGCTGACAGCCTGTCCTTCTCATCCATGAGATGGATGACCTCTCCGTCGTTGATTTCGAGCTTTCTTTCGAGCGTGGCGCATGTCGTCTTTTGTCTTTCGAGGCTCTGAAGCAGAGTACCGTATTCGCGCTGTAGGGTACGCAATTCCGAAGTTTTGAGGCTGATTTGCTGTTGGAGGTCGTGTAAGCTCGGACTTGGTCCTAATGTTTGCGACATCGCTGGTGGTGATATTGAAGGCAGGCTTTGGGAGATGTGAAAGTTGAAGGAAGAAGGTGAAGGTAGGATTATCGAGTGTGGACGTTGTTGAGCCCGTATTGGGGCGTTCATCGAGTCGAAAGTTGGCGTAATGTCCGGGGAAGGGTTACCTGCGAATGATGCGGATTTGGGACGACTGAAGCTGCCAGAAACACCGGGATTTGACTCCTGTCTCTGTGGAGGCGTCCGATCCTCGCTGTCATCGGAGTAATCTTGAGCTCTTCTCATCTTGGAGGTTTTGAGAAATGGCGACGAGGACCGCGGGCGACGCGACGAGCCTTGCTTCATGTGCCCTTGTAACCAGAAATCATGCTCATGCTGCGAACGAAGCACCCATTACAATAGCTCTTCACTGCTGGCAATATCGTGTACAGGCGGCTATTTCAGCGTATGGGAGTTGTTCCCAAGCATGGTAAGGCCAAGTGCTAATCGAGCGGCAATAGGGGAAGTCAGAGCAACTCACTGAATTGACTAGATCGTGCTTTGTACGCGTCAACCTTCTGTCTCTATTGGTCAAAACTTCCAAGCCCGTGGCAACTTTGCGCATTGATACATGCAAGCTGCAGAATACTTGGCCCTGGCAGCTCGGCAAGCATAAGTAACCATCCCTACTGCGTGCGCTTGCTCAGGCCCATGACCCGGATGGATGACCAAGCTGCTTTGCAGGAGACAGGCCCAGCCAGTACTACGGTAACATATTGGCGGATCTTGTGTAATAGAGTCAGCTATGGTAGCCTTTTTGGAAGGTGCAAATTGGCACACCAATAAGATGAAAGCCTCATGCGCCGGCTACATGTCGGTCAACACGCTCCCGCTTAACGCGCTGGTATACACATACATGGCCAGGCTTCCACATCTGCACCACATGATAAAGCTACCGTATGATATACACACTGATAGATATGAAAGAGAAACGGAGACCCGAAACTTTGTAGGTACGTAGAGTTATGCTACTGTTTTCAACGACGGCAGCTGTAGAATCCGAAACTTTGGGCCCTACTGAGATGATTTGGAATGAATTGGGGCACAGTAGAAACGTTTGTTGATCCGGGATGTAACCGCCGTGAGTATAGTAGCCGGCTCGTGGCGGGAACGAGAATAATGACGCTGATTGATGGAGGCTGTGACAGTCGGGCCGGGGCGCTTGGGCCGCACTTCAAAGGTGTTGGTATCTTCCTGTGGTCGTTCCATGTCCGTACGACACTGCACAGGTGGGACTTGAACCTAGAAACCGGACACAGAAGTTGGCCTCCGCCATCAGAACAGGTATAATGCCTTAGGAACAGTGTCGATATAAGATCCTTCGAAATATATGTTCAACTGTAAGATAGTCGATATCATGGCATGCAAGAGCTGGAGTGTAAGAGCGCCATCGGTGCCGCATGTGAGTGCCGTGCAGTCGGAGTCTTGCTTAAAGGTCGGAGCTCGTGTTCGGTGGCATGGCTCCTAATATGGGAACATTCAGACAACCAGGCGTAATGCATCCGGTGGGTCATTTATAGGGGCCGTTACAGAGAGGCCGAAGGTCCGCATTGTAGTATGCAATTACGTGCGTATCGCTCCCTCGGTGGTACCAGAGTCAGTCAGCGCCATTGCTGCACCGAAGCATACCTGCACTCAGTAGCCTGGACAAGCGAGAGCCAAGTCGTAGGCCAAGATGCCCGTGAAAGAGCTATTGTCAACGCCATAGGCACGAGAGGCGCGATTCGATGCAGTACTGTGAGGAGACCTCACCGGGGTCGACATGCCGGTTCGCGCGAACAAGGTATCAGGAAATCTCGACGACGTGCTTGCCGGATGCATCCATAGCCAACGATAGGAGGAGCTTGTGGAAGGATGACGGCTGAGTAAGACGGAAAGATCGTTATCGGTAATGATGAGCGGGAAATCATCCGAAACTAGCGTCGTCAGTCAGCACGGGATCTTTGAAGCTCTCTGTTACGACATCTGCCGAATCTAGATTGAAGACATGACTTGTGGCCTGACCGGCATGCGCTTGCGGTAACACGAAACACCGTATTGAGATGCAAGTAATAGAATTGGGGCAAGGTGATCGCAACCTTCCCGAATGCGGAACTCGTCGCACATGTGCTACAAGCGCCCTGGAAGGAACGCTTCTGTATTACCACGATATTTTCCTAATCTCTTCCCATCCTGTTACCACCAACACCGTACCTCTGAGTTTTTGCATCAGCTTTCACATATTCACATGCGCCAAGCTGCACTCTGCCCGTCAGTATCCACAAACTGTGTCCCCACATCCCGGGCAATCAGTCGAAGACGATCCTCAACCCAGTCTTTCTCGCGTGACACCACTTCAGTCTCAATCTTCTGCATCGTCTGCAACTCATCCAAGATGCCGTGTAGAATGGCTTTACATGCTTCGACTATACATGCAATGCTTGATCCGGGTGTTGGCAAAGCCAGCCTGTCCAGGTCGCGTGCAAATGCTGTTAACTTCCTGATCAACGCAGCATTTTCGGCCTTCCATGAATCCCCAAGGCCTTCAATTGTCCCAAGAGCCGCCTTGGCTCCATGCGGACCTTGGCGGGCGGACCGAATCTCCTGGACCCAGGACGACCAATGCTCAAACTCTTTCACCAGACGCTGTAGTCGACCACCCGATTCGACCAGCGACGGCAGTTCATGGAGGGGCTCCGAAAGGACCTGGATGTACTCAACCAGGCCCGCAGATGAGCCGCTAGCACTCCATTCCAGCAGGGACTGCAAGTTCTTCTGTTCTTGTGCTGTGCGTTCGCTGTCTAACATGACTTGGTAAAGGCTAGCAACCTCTTCGAACTTCGTGCGCATCTTACGCTTCGCACTGATTTCCCAGCATCTATATGTTTCCGCCGACGATTGATGCAGAAGATGAAGTTGAAGCAGTTCAGATTGCAAACTGATCGCCTCTGGAGAAAGCGATTGCAACACTGTTTGAGGTGCAGGGTTGATAAATGTGGCAGTGGGAGCTTTCCCAACCTTACGTGGTGTGAAGTGCTGTTGAAGCGTGCTGAAAGCTGGTCGATTAGCCTTCTTCGGCTCTTCTGACACGACGTCTTTACGTTTTGACTGAGTGCCAACGGGCTCTTCGGCCCTGCACACCGTACCAGTGCTCGGCAGGCCACTGGATGCTTCTGGCCTGGCTTTCGTACTAGCAGAGCGGCTGAGCCCTGCATTCCGTAGCGACGTCCGCGTTGGACCAGATAAGGTATCGCCAGATGTGTTGTTAGTCCTCGAGGTACGCGTTGGTGCCAATAGTAGAGACTTTGGTCGCTCGGAGATCGTGTTCGATCTAGCAACATCACGTCTAGGGGCTGTTATGGTACTGGTCGACTGGGTCCTGGCATGACCAGGAGGGCCTGATGCCTGAGCTGAGTGCGACGTAGCACCTGGCTTCCGTAAAGACTGCGATCGGGCAAGCCCTCGTACTTGCGGCTCTGCAGGCTTGCTGACTGAAGCTGGAGGCAGCATCGTCCGGGGAGCACTTGTCTTTTCAGCACTTTCCGTGCGCTGAGATGATGGGGTGCCCGTCTGATATGTGGATTTTGGTCGAAGTCGCCCTGGTACTGCACCCGGAACCTGAACGCATTGCGTTGGTGACGCTGTGTCTGGCTGATCTTGCGTCCCGTTCAAGTCATCCCCCGCATCTTCCGATCCAGCGTCTCTGTCAGATACTTCAGGTAATATACTTGACCGGGTATTGTATCTATGCTGGCCGGGCTGGGGACTAGATAGGAAGAAGATTAGTCTTAGCCAGATCCCTCACACGCTCAGGTATCACCCACAGTAAGCTGCGACGATTCTCCGAATCGCCCTGAATTGACGGTAACCTACTAGAGGCAGGGCGCGCAATGCCACTTGTGCCATGTCTTGTTGTTTCCTTGTCGTCACCGGTCGGCGCGACTGGTGCAGCGTTCTGGAACCTGTTAGGTATTGTCTACTACGGGACGGCGCATGGCTTACCCGAGCCCGTGGGGGCGCATGGCCGATTCTGCCTATCTGTGAGCGCGGCTTGGAGTTCATCTTCGATACAGGTCGCGGCGCTATCGTGAACGTGTTGATAGCTCGGTCTGATGTTGCCGGGTATGCACAAACACACGAAACATCGGTTGTTGACATCCAATGAGCGCGGGCCACAGCGCTAGCACCACATATGGCTAGAACCCTAGCTATGGCAAGAGCATATCCAGTAGCAAAGAATGGAAAGGGAATATCGTCAGAGTTCGTTATCTATTGTATCTAAGCCGAGTGAGCGACCAATGCATACTTCGTGAAATGGCGCGTACGTCCATCCCTACGAAAGCACAGCTATTCCGTTCCCTGTTCTCACAGGCTACCACGGCGCGCTGGGAAAGAAACACCCTCGATAGCAGCGTAGTCAACAAACCAGCTAACGCGGTCTCCGCCCTTGTGGTTCACCAAACCACAAGGCAGCTGCTGACCCTCGTCCGAATCGAAGATTTGGCGCATGATGTCCTTCTTTCCTCCGCCAGTCGCGACGAAGGCGATCTTGAGTCCATGTTGTGCGACGGGAAGGGAGATGGTGATGCGCTTCGGGGGAGGCTTGGGAGAGTCGGAGATGGAGAGTACCCATGCTTCGGTTTCGCGCAATAGCTCAGAACCGGGGAACAAACTGCAGGTGTGTCCGTCCGGTCCACAGCCAAGCAGAAGCAGGTCGAAGAGTGGCAACTTTACGCTGTCGCGTGCTGCAAACACACTCACGAGCGTCTTCTCGTACTGGTCGGCCAGTTCTTGTACGTCATCGAGGTACTTGACGTCGATGGGGTAGACCTTGGGTGTGCCCAACTCAGACGGTATCTTGTCGAGAAGCTCCTCCTTGACGAGTCGATGGTTGCTGTCTTCGTGATCGAGAGGCACCGCGCGCTCGTCGGCATAGAATATTTCCCACTTGTCGAATTGCACCTTTCCTTCGCCATTGGTCTCCTTGAGAAGCGCTTGCG